AGGTGGCTGGCTGTTGTTCTTCCCGGGTCTCTTCCGGGTCCCTCTCGCGGCGTTCCCTGCTCTGGAGGCGGCGTTCCCCGGTCTGGCGGGTGGCGGCGTTCCCCGGTCTGGTGGGCGGCAGCGTGCGTTCCCCCGGCTGGCGGCGGCGTGCGTTCCCCCGGCTGGGTATACAGTGTTTTTTGAGCATTACATAAGCAAAAGTTTTAAACACACAAGTTTGAAGTCCATCCATACCTATTCCTTAAACAAATTCAAAGTGATAGGTAAAAACAAAATATCATTGGGCTTCAATCTTTAATCCCATTGGGTGAATATCTTGATTGCAATGAAAAGATGTTTTTTTGAAATGCATTAAGCAGATTTGTATTCAATAGCAAGGAATTACTACTTCCTTGATATGAAGAAAAACAAGACTCGCAAAAAGGACACTTTATGGTAAAGTGCATACTCAGATTGATCATGGCCTTGAAACAGGGCCAGAATCGAGCCCCAAACCTGGAGCACTCCTCATGAAAAGTCAGGACACTAGATTTGAGCAAAGGCAGGCAAGTTTTTGCTGAGGGCTGGCCAAGGAACCAGGCAGTTGATAAGCTCACATCTGACTCCCTAAACAACAAGGTATTCTCTCTTGGCGGACTTGCTCACATCCTTGGGGCACGTGGCCAAGAGGAAGCAGTCCTTGGAGAAGGACATCATGCTCAGCAGGGTGGAGGGACGGCGTAGGAGAAGAGGATCCTGGGTGAGATGAATTGATACACTAACTGGGACAATGGGCATACTTAGGGGTGTCAGAGTCAGTGAGCCTGGCTCAGGACAGGGCAGGCTTCAGAGCTGTTGCACCTAGCATCTCTATGAGTTGTAGGGACTCATCTGCACATAACAGCAGTAACAATGCAAAGAGCTTATGAAGAAGCACAGTCTGATTTTTCAAACTGGGCCTGGAGCTCACTGCAGAACTGATCTAATCATCGATGACCCATGTGCAACTTCCAATTGAAACTCAAGTCACTGAACACAATTCAAGAGAAGATGCCAACCTTGAGTCTATGCCACCTGAACGGAAAGACCATCTCAAGACTGTATCAGATGCAGTGAATGCTAATGAACGAATTCCAGTTCAGGGCTCAGATGCCAACGAGGATAATCTTAAGGAAGAAAGCCAAAGGTCATTCCAGAGAAAGGAGAGAAAGAAAAGGACAAAATAGATGTCAGAAGAGTCCTCGGAAATTGTATTTGAACATGGAGAGGCCAACACAAATGGCAGAAATAGTGAAGTAAAAATCAGCCCAGGAGGTTCCAAAGGGCAGATAAAGACGGCAAAGAATTCTAAGCAAAAGGGTAAAGAGCTGGAGTTAGAGAACCATAAGGAAGTCAGGTGTTTGGCATTTGTCAAGCTCAGACACCTGAAGAATCAGTTCAAGCCCGAAGACGGAATACAGCAGGATTCTGTGGGCAATACCTTGAATGGTGCAGATGGCATCAAAGAAGTTGGAAGGAGTCCAGACAGACACTGAACCAGAAGAACTAAGATCAAGAATCCATGCGAATGAAAGGGAGTGCTGGTGGCCTAATGGTATGAAGCTGCACTGCAATCTCAGAGGTACGTTGTTCCAATCCACCAGATGCTGTGCTGGAGAAGGAGGGACAATCTCCTCTTGTACCAGTCAGATCCTATTTGACGGTACACACACACACACACACACACACACACACGAATGATAAGTGTTTTTTTTTCAAAAAAAAAAAGAAGAAGAAGAATCCAAGGCAATGAAAGGAAATGTTCAAAGTGCACTGAAGGCATTCACAAAGAAACATGCCCAGCAGCTATCGACAGGCAAGCCATTGACATGCTCACTGATGTGTGCCAAGAAATTGAGAAGGCAGCTACGTGGCCAACCGGCTGGAAGAATTCCATATTTGTTCTAATTCCCCCAAAATGAATGAGGTGAACCAACAGAATGTGGAAATTTTAAGCAATATCAACCATACAACACACAAGTAAAAAAAAAAACTTGCTGAAAATTCTCCAGAAACAGCAAGAGGAGGAAGCTGGCAGAGAACCACCAGACGTCAAACTCAATTCACAAGAGACCATAGCCCGAGGGGAGAGTATAGCTGATGTCAGAATGGAGCTGGGCTGACAGGAGATAAACTCTGAGAACTGCAGATTTGTGCTGGATTGACTAGGCAGAGACATCAGACAGACTACGTTCCACATTGAGAAGAAAGGGCATGCATCCCAGAACACAGTGATTTTTTTAATGCCCAGTGTGAGGAATCTATAGCCCAAGCAACTGTCCAATGGACAGAACAAGGAGACATGACATTTGGAAAACTCAAGAACACTGTGTGTCATTTACTGGCAAGAAGAGGGATGCCAATCCAAACCACAATAGGATATCATCTCACCTAATAGCAGTAGGAAAGTTTAGTAGGGCAGCAAGTAGGAAAGGTCAGAGAGCATGTGGAGAGGGGGGACATCTCCTACGCTGTGGCTGGGAAGGTCAAATGGGGCGAGTACTCTGGAAGACAGCTTGGCGTTTCCTAAGCCTTCCCGATTTGCATTCTGAG